GAGCTTCTTCTTCTGGGCTTTTCCTTTGTTTGCCACACGCTCTCTCTCTCTCTCTCTCTCTCTCTCTCTCTCTCTCTCTCTCTCCACTCTCTCGCCTCCTTCGTTTCGTAATTACGCTTTTCCTCCCGAGGGACACCCCTAATTTTGGCCCCGCTCAATTTTTGGGCACCCGCGGAGTTGGAAAATTCGGTTTTTAGAGGTTCTTACAACCCGCCTGGCCCCCTGCGCCACGAAAACTATGAAAAACGCATTATATCGCGAAATTGGCTAACATTCTGGCTTTGCGAGGGCAAAAAGCTGCAAAAATGGTCTCCAGAAAAATTTCTACAAAACTACAAACTATTTCCGGCTTTTAAAACTTTTAAAAAGGTTTAAAACCTATAAAAAGCTTTCAAAAGCGGGTTTTTGCCAATTACGCGGGGCTACTGTGGCAGTCCGCGACGCGCCAAATGACGAAATCCGTACTGGGGAATGGCGCGGAGCACGTGGAAATGGGGTGATTTCGGTTTTAGTCGCCGAAAATACGCGCAGTTTCGGTCCGTTTTTCATTAATTTTCTTATTATTACTTTTTCCTGGTTTTTTTACGTTTTTCTCCTCTGGAATCGTTGGCTTTTTGACGCGCTTGATGCACTCCCCCCCCCCTGGCCCTCTTGCCCCATCATTTCCCATGCATTTGATGTCCCGGAACACTCGGCTGAACATCGCGGCCCATTAGTTTCTTTCTACTTTTTCACCCCGCGTTTCCCCGCGGCCACATGGCTTTTCAAAGCGCGGAGAAGAAGCGGGGGGCTTTTCCATATGATCCTCGTCTTTTCGGCACGCAATCTTGGCTTCATTAATAGTTTTTTAGCTTTAGGCTTGGTTTTTCGTTCATTTGCGCGTTTTTTGAACCGATAAAATGGTTTGAAGCTTTTCGGCGAGTTTTCGTTTGTGTTTTGACATTTTTAGGAAGTTTTAGTGGTAGGTCGGTAACCCACTTTGGTTTTCCATCGGTTTGCCGCCGATCCTGGGGCACTTTGGCGCGCTGAGCCCGAAAAAACACGCGGGTTGATTTCCGCTGAAAAAGTTTGAGCTTAGCGCCCCAAATGACCCTGGGATCGCCTGAAAAATGATGGCGAAAGACGGCTAAACGCAGATAGCGCCGAAATTTCCCTTTTAAATTGACGGTTGCTTCTAATGGCTCTATTTTTCCGGCTTTTACTTTCGCAATAGCATCCCTCTGTTTTTTCTTCTTGACCCTCGTGGCCGGCCGGTGAGGGGCCGTGTAGTGATCGGCGGGAGCCCTCCTGCCGTCTCGACCGAATGGGATCAGTATGTCAGTTGAAGGGGGGCAGGAAGAATGTTTTTGTCTTCGCCTGACCCGACTCTTGCTCCCCGCGGCCACTCCTTCTCTTGCTCATTCTCCTTCTCCACCATCCATCGCTCACTTCCCCGTCGATAAATCGTTCAGCGCCCGCCCTGAGCCGGCCGGACCCTTCCTGCCCGCGCTCCCATGAACATTGGGATGGCGTATCCCGGGGTGCGCTCGCGCCCGGAAGAGTTTTTTTTTGGTAAATTTGTTTCTAGCCTTTCTATTCTGAATACCGGCGTGGTTTTTTCGATTTTTTTTTTGATTTTAGCGATTCGGCTTTTTACAAGATTATATTTCCTTTTATATAACAAATAACCAATCATTTTTATAGTATTTTACGCAGATTTTTAGCGATAAAAATAGAAAATACCCCCGCTAACAAGCCCAGAACCGCCCGGGCTAGCGGCGCGAAGACGATGACCACATACTTGAAGCCGACCGCCCAGCTCGAGGGGACGAACGGCTAGTCTGATCCGCGCGTAAATAGGCATTTTCGCGACGTTTCTCTGTTTGCGCGGGAGATCAGCTGACCCCGGGGGGCGCGCGCGAGTTGCCGGTGCTGATCGTCGTGGTCAGGGGGTTTTGTTATTGATTTGGCGAGGGTGATTGAGTGCTCTTCTAGGGGGTTTTAGAGGTGGTTAGTTATTGATTTTCTATCAGTCATTCTAGAATTTTAAGAGATCTTTCACGTCCTTTTCAGTCCTTGACGCCAGCTGTTTGCCCGCATAACCATGCTAGATTTCGGCGATTTTTTTGGGTTTCTTACCGTTTTAATTTTTTTAACACGACTCGATTTCGGTGTCATTCCACTCCGCACATTTTTTGTTGCCTTCCCGCGCGCCCCCGGTTTCATGACTAATCGTGCCGGCCATAAAAAGACTTTTTCCACTCCGACTGGAGTTGGAGTTGAATGTGGCAGTCGTCAGCCAGTCAGTCAGTCAGTAGCGGGTCTGTTGTCCATTTCTAAATGTCCACACGCCCCACACCCGGCGTTCTCGGGGCCTATTTTCGAGTCGAGTGCGAGTTTGAGGCGGAATCGATCCCTGGCCGGGCCCGCCTGGTTGGTTGGGGCGGTTCGCTGTCTTGGTTGTGTTAGGAAAAGGAAAAGAAGCCCCTATCGCTGATTCATGCCCCCCTCTGCTTTTTTGTCATGGCACCAACCCCCCCCTCCTCCACCTCTCCTACTTCGGGCGGCTTTTCCCCCCGCTTCATCCCCATGGCCGGGTCTTTCGCGCTGGCGCAAGTTTCCTTTGGATTCAATTTTTCTTGTAGCGATTATTTCTAAACGCAAACACGCAGCTTTTTTAGTGGAAATGAGAAAATCAAAGTAAAATCCTGATTTTCCGAACAAAAATGCGTTTTCAAGCAAAATCTGGTCTTTCTAAACGTTTTCCTAGGTTTTTTTTGCAAAGTTTTCGACCGGAAATTAGTTACACGTTATTAAAAATACTTTAAAAATATCAGTTTTCGATTTCTGGGCATCGACTTTTAGAGACTCCCCCCCTGATAATGCGCCAGCTCCGTTTCGGCGCCCTTCCTCAGCCACTGCCATCCGGCAGCTTTTTGCCTGCAGCCGACTTCGGCTTGCCCCGCTTCCCCCCCCCCCCTGACACATGCATATTTGATAGTCATCATCGGGGGGTGACGCCGCCGCCGCCACGCCGCTCAGCCAGACATACTTTTCCGGCACAACCGCGAGGGAGAAGGGCGCTGATTTTTATTTGATGGCTTCGGAAATGTGGGCGCGTTCTGTGGTCTTTGATCGATTTTTGGCGGTTTTAGCTGGCGAGTCTTACGCTTTTTGCTGGTTTTGGGCTTGTAAACTGCCCTCAAAAGCTTCTCTTCTCGTAACGCTAAATTTAGACCGCCAACGGCTAGCGCTTCGTTTTACAGGTCTCCAAACTCCTGGGGCTTCCAATGCCTTTTTACGAGGACGCGCGCTTCGTTTTTGAAGTCTAGGAGCGTTTTAGATTGCGCGTTAACTCGAAAATCGTGGAATTTGGCAGAAAATTGTGAGTGAAAGGTTTTTTGGAATTTCTTTTTTAACCTAGCTTTTATTTTTCTTTTCTTTTGGTTTCCCACCCCGTAGAAAGAAGAAGAAGTTTAGCTTTTAGATTCGCTAGAAAAAATGGCACTTTAAAACCTAGTTTCGCATTTCTTTAAATTCCTTAGACCTAGCTTTTATCCTCATTTTCTTTTGGTTTCCTACCTCGTAGAAAGAAGAAGTTTAGCTTTTAGATTTGCTAGGAAAATGACGCTTTAAAACCGAGTTTTCGCATTTCTTTTATTTTCTTGGACCCAGCTTTTATCCGCAGTTTCACTGGGTTTCTTTGAATGTCGAAAATTCAGTTTTTAGCCCGGTTTCGCCACGAGCACTTGAAAAATTAGACTTCTGGCCCCGGGGGCTGGCTGGCTGGCCGCGGGGGGCCCTGGTGGCCAGCTCGAAAAGGACGAGAAGCCCCCCGCCGCCGCCACTAGAGCCAGAAGCCGCGAGAGAAGAGGGGGCAGAGACGGGCCCGTGTAATGGACATTTATCGACCCACACCCCACCATGCAGCAACGGCCAAAGGGCCCCCCACCACCACCACCAGCCCCCCTCGCACTCGCACAAAGCCCTCGCCAGTTCCTCCTCCTCCTCCTCGTCCTCGTCCTCTTCTTCCGCTTCTTCTTCTGCTACTTTTCCTTTTGCCGCTCCGCCCGATCGGGCTTTTCCCTAGGGCGCCGCTAGCCGGGCGGATTTCGCGAAACTGACAAAAGCATTCTTCTCGCGCTCCCGCGTTCTGCCCAGCGCCTTGTTCCTCGTTTGGTTGAAATTTTGAATTTTTGGGCTCTTTTAGTTGTATTTTATGCGAAAAGGCTCTTTCGAGGTGTTTGGAGCGTAATTTGGACTGAGGAACCGGGCTTGGATACATTTTCGAAGTTCTTGTGAACGCTTGAAGCAGTCTTTCCAGGACTAGATCTTCATTCAGCTCTTTTTGCATCGTTTTGAGGAGAATTTAGCTTCAAAAGCATCTTCAGATACGTTTTCGAAGCTTTTTCAGCCCTGATTTTGATTCCAAGTCAGCTTTGCCGAGTAATTTCGATAGTTTTCCATCTTTCTAACTTGAATTTAGTTTAGAAATCCGATTTTCATGGCTCTCTGAAGCCAGTTTTGTGTAAACTCTTTCCCCTAGCTGCAGGGCGTAGATTCTTGTCATTTTCGTGTTTTCCAAGCGAATTGGCTTAAAAACTCGATTTTTCCGAAGTTGCACGTAGATTCTTTGATGTTTTTAATTGCCATTTACAATTTCGGAGTTTTAGCGCTTGCAAAAGCTCTGTCCGTATCAAAAAGTTGCGCCCGATTTACGCGCGCGCACTTGCCCCCGATTTTCATAATCGGGTTCAGCGCGCCCGGGGAGCCGTTCTATCACGCGTTCCCCCCTGTTGTCTTTTTCTCTTTTCCCCCCGCTGCCCTCTCCCTGATCACCACGACCATTTACGTGTTTTCGAATTCTCTCTCGCTTTCCGGCGTTGGATTGCCTACACCTGCCTCTCCTCCTCTCCCACCTCATTGCGTGTGAATTTGCAGGTACATTTGATCTCGGCCAGCCAGCCCTCCTCCCATTCTCTCGCCACCACCGCCACACACGCAGCCAACCGCGCTTCGCAATGGCAGATCAACTCACCGAGGAGCAGATTGCTGGTTCGTTTTGTTTTTGGGATTTTTTTCGCCATTTTTCCAGCTGATTAGCTTTTAAGATTTCAATTTTATTGTTTAAAGCTATTCTCAAGCTAGTTTAATCGTTTGAATTTTGGTTTTTCAATCTTGTAGCCTTTAAAAACCTTTTTGTATTGTTCTGAGCGTTTAAAACGTTAGTTTCAGGTTTAAAACTCGCATTTTAGTATTTTAAAACTATTCCGCTGCTAGCTTTAATTTTGAAATTTTGTGATTCTATTTTCTAGGGTTTTTAGCCTTTAACCCGTCTTTTTTTTTATATCATTCTGGCAATTTAAGATTTCAATTTCGGTTGTAAAATAATTTCATCTTTTTTTAGGCTTAGAAATGCTAGCTATTTTTGTGTAGAAATAGGGTTTTAAAAGTTTTTAATATTCTCTTTTTCTTTTTAATTATCCAAGGTTTTGTTGTGTTTTTAGCTTGTATTTTCGATGTAAACGGCCGAATTCCCCTTTTTTCAGAGTTCAAGGAGGCGTTCTCCCTGTTCGACAAGGACGGCGATGGCACGATCACCACCAAGGAATTGGGGACGGTGATGCGCTCGCTCGGCCAGAACCCCACCGAGGCCGAGCTCCAGGACATGATCAACGAGGTCGACGCCGACGGCAACGGCACCATCGACTTCCCCGAGTTCTTGACGATGATGGCGCGCAAGATGAAGGACACCGACTCCGAGGAGGAGATCCGCGAGGCGTTCCGAGTACGTTTTCTTGCTGGATTCTGGTTCTTAAAGATGGGATCTAGGTTTTGAAGTATTGTTTCTTTTGTGTGCTGCAAAATTGCCTTCAAAACGTGAAATTTTGAAATCCGAGCTCTTTCGAAAATTTCTAAGGATTTCCAGTTCGTTTTTTAGATCAATTTGTCTTGATAAATAGAATCTAGGTTTTTCTAGGTAGTTTTCCGGTTCTTTTGCATTATCGAGGGTCCAAAATTTTTTTAAGGATCTAATATAAACAGTAGAGGGGTTTCAAAGCTCTTTTTTGCTATGCGAAAACATAGAAAAGATCAATTTTTATTGAAAACATACAAAAGATATCGATTTTTTTTTTGATTTTCTACAAAAATGTTCATAGTTTTGTATTGTCCTTTCATTTAAAATATAGTTAAAGTCTCCCCCCCCCCGATAATGGCAAAGAACCTTTTTTTCAAGTTTGAAAATCTTTTCGTCGATTTCGGCTTTCTAAAAACATATTTTCACTTTTGGTTGTCCAATTTCGCCGGCCGGAAAACATTTATTTCTGGAAATCGTTAGTCACCTCGCGTGATTCAACGGTCTTTTTGATGCGCCCGGGTGGCCCCCCAAAAGAAAGTATAGTCACCAAAATCATGCGCTTCGCGGAGCCGGTCGCCCCGCTTTTTTAGGCTGCGGTTGGTTACGATCCCCTCCGAAGAAACGGGGCGCCCGGTGATCCTATCAGCGGGGGGGGGTGAAATCGTACATGTCTTGGCACCAAGATTCGCGTTTTAAATTGAAAAGGTGCGGCGGAAATTCAAAAAAAATTGAAAAATTAAATATTTATCTTCATTTTCTAAATCATATCGATTTTTTTCTGAATTTTGATCAAAATTCGGGAATTTTTACCTTTGGAATTGCCAAAAAGGGTGAGAAACACTTTTTCGATTTAAATTAGAAGCAAAATGAAATAATTCCGGGTGGAAATTGGTAATTTGTTGCATTTGCAGGTGTTCGACAAGGACGGCAACGGGTTCATCTCGGCGGCCGAGCTGCGCCACGTGATGACGAACCTCGGGGAGAAGCTGACCGACGAGGAGGTGGACGAGATGATCCGCGAGGCCGACATTGACGGCGACGGACAGGTCAACTACGAAGGTACACCGCTTTGTCGATTTGGGTTGCTGTTTTTGTAGTGGGGCTTCTCCTGACCCTCGGCCTTTTTTTATGCAAGGGGATTTCGTTGGGGGTTTTAGGAGCTTTGTGCTATTTTTTAGGCCTTTGCGGATCGTCTCCTTGAAAATTTGAATGAAGTGCTGTTTTTTTGATTTTTTTTAGGATTTTCCTAGGCGCGATTTTCTCGCCTGAAGGGGCGTTTTTTTGGGGATTTTTGAGGTGCTGTAGTGATGGTGGACGTTTTCCAGGGGGTTTCGGACAGCCTTTTCTAGGTATCGATTTTCAGGCCCATCGAGATTTTTGGGGATTTCTGGCCGGGAAAATTCAGAATCTCTAAAAGAGGAATCTCGAAATTTCCATGCAAATTTCGATTTTGGCGAAAATCCATTTAGGTTCCCGGAACAAGGAAATTCTCGACATTTAGAGATTCAGAAATGTAGTGATTATGACGTTCAAAGATTCCGAAATTTAGAAATTCCGATTTTCGGTCGATTCTGATAGGACATCTTTCGGAGCGCCGTAGGCTTTTTTACTGTAGCTTTGGCTAGGGTTGAACCGATTTGAGGCCTTTTAGCTCTTTGTTGATGTTGGGGGCTTTCCCCCTGTTGATCTCTGAGACTGGGGTGTTGCCCTCTTTTTTCAGGCTTTTCCACGCAGCCACGTCTCAAATGCCCCCCTACCGCGCTGCGCGCCCCCTAATGGCCAATGGGCGCGTAATTAGACGCCTTTTGTAACCGGATCGACGCGGTCCTCGTTGTGGTGCTCCCACCATCTACCACCGCCATGTGTGTCTCTCCGCCAAAAGGGTGCCCTGGGAATTTCCGCTTTGCCACGCCGCTTTGCCACCCTCCTAGAGGGGCAACGCATCGCGTTCTGGAATTGCTTAGCAGCGTGAAGCCGCGGATTCCACGCTACCGGTCTCTCTGTCCCTCTCTCTCCTCTCTCTCTATCTCTCGCTTTATCTCTCCATCTGTCTCTCTCTTTATCTCTCTCTCTCTCTCTCTCTCAGTCTCTCTCTTTCACTCTCGCTCGCTCGCTCTCTCTCTCTCTTCCTCTTTTAGAAATTAGAAATTCCCGCAATATAGCAGCCCGGCTTCCGTTTCGCGTCTTTTCAACTTTTTTTTTTGCTGCTTGCTGGGCGGCTATGCCCATTTCCGCACCTAGCCACACACACACCCTCGCCTCGTCGGGAATTGGTGATGATCAGAGTGACCGGGGTTTGGGAATGACGTGCAGCCGGGGGAAATTGGGACTAGAAATTGGCCCGGAGTTGACGCAGGGATTTGCATAAATTTTGAATTTTTGTCCGCTGTGGGCGCTTTTTTGCTGCTTTTACGTCGCTAGGTGGTGGGGGGCTTTTGGGTGCAGTTTAGGTAGTTTGTTTTTCAAAATTAGGAATTGAATTTTAGATAATTTTTATATACAATATAATCAATTGTAATAGATACAATAATTAGTATAATTTTTACAAAACATATTTCTGGTTATTGAACTAGTTTTTTTACGCCATTTTCGTAGCGTTTTTTGAGGCAAAAATATGGTGATTTTTCCGTAAAATTGCAATTTTCTAATTTTTCCTTTGCAGAGTTCGTGACGATGATGACGACGAAATAAGCGAGCGGCGCTTCTCGTGCTCGTGCTCCTCTTCCCCCTCATCCGTCCGTCCATCACCCGATCCCGATCCCCCTGCCAACACAGGTCTCAACCCCCCGCCCGCCCACAACTCATCCTCCACACCAATCGATTGACCGCCCGACACCACAAGCTGCTACAACAACAAGAAAAAGCAAAGTTTTCCGTTCTCTTTCTCCTCTCCTCCTCGATTTTTACCTGTACTTGTTCAGCTCGTTGGTCATCTACCGCCCTTCCCACCACACCATCCATTCGCACATCATTCATTCGTCCATTCGCCGCGCCGTTAAATTCCCCCCTCGAAATCCTGGTAAAAATCGTGACCGTTTTGTGTTTTGTGTTTGTCTCTCCCTCCCTCTCTCTCGCCCTCTCTATTCTCGCGCTCTCTCGCCCCCAAATTTGTATCGCGTGTAGCCGTGTGTAGCCCCCCACCCATCCCTACCAAAGTTTGTGTGTGTCCTCCCCTCCTCGCCCCTGAATTGGCCTGCGCGCCCGCTTCTGTCCGTCCGTTTTTAATGATAAAATTTTTTTACAAATATTCAGATTATCCGAATTGTTGGTTTGCCTGAAAATGCACCTCATCTTTTTTTTGGGGGTTTGATTTATTTAATCGCCAATTTTAAGAAGGTGGCGTTTACTTCGTGATGCAGTCCGTCCCGTTTAGGAATAGTGAAAAACCATTTACTAGCACACACAAACAACCATTTGTATCTGAAAAATGAGATCCTAGGACAAATTCCCGGGGGGAGACCAACTTTTTTGCTGTCGGCCCTGGTGGTCATAGTAAACAAATATAAAGTGTTTTTATATTGTTTCTAGCAAAATTTACGCCTATTTGAAGCGGAAGAACGGAAAAATTGATTTTGGGATCTAAAATTAAATTTTTTAATTAATTTTGGAAAGTTTTTATGCTTAGGAATAGTTAAAAGCAATTTGGAAACGATTCCAAACGTTTTAGAAACGTTCCCGATGATCGAGCCCGGATTCTTACGAGCAATCATCGTTCAAGATCAAGGTTGTGATTACATGGCCGACACGCGGGGAAACGGCGCGATATCCATCGATCATCCGCTCAACGGTGTTCCGGTCAATTCGCGCATTCGCGCCGGTCTGACGACGACGATAGATTGCCTGGAATGTGTGCCGGTAGGCGAGGCGAATGGCGGGGAATCGTGCGTCCAAGAAGTCGATGGCCGGCGGGAAGTTCCACTCAAAGAAATCGGCGCTATCCAAACTGCGCGCCTCGCTGCGTGGCTCCCTCAGTGCGTAGTATTCCTCGATGGGCGTCGCTGCGTCGATCTCGTTGCTATCAGGTTGGATGTAATATCCGATTGTGACGATTTAGGTATCGATCGAAAGCGCTCGGAACGGCGAGAAAACAGGCGCTTGTCGGTTTACAAAATGTTTTAGCCCGCGCTCGATATTCAACGATTTTTTTAAATAAGAGTAAAATCCCGATCAGTAGTTTTCATGGAATTTGGTGCTAAATTTAGCGATATATTGTAAAATAAGCAGTGCTGGCTTTGCCGAGCGCTTTCGATCGATACCTAGATTTGAGCGCGTGTCTGCAGCTTCAACAAATTATTCCCAACAAATTGTGACAAAACCGATTCTCCAACCTCAAAGATGGCTCCCGAAACGCTGCCCACGGTCTGGGGGGCGCAAATCCGGCCACGGCCCGCAGCTCTGCCAGCCCAATCGCCTTCTGCGCTTCGTTGGCCAATTTGACGTTGAAGACGCGCGCCATGCCGTGCCGTAGAATGCCGCCGGCCAGCTGCTCGTGGTCGCCACGGGTCAGGCACGACGTTCCTATCTGAACCCGAGACCATTCAAAGGGTTTTTTTTGTAATAAAAATCGTTTTAGATATGATTTTTTAGGGCTATAAAAAATATCTTAGCAAATTTTTCGGTCCTCTAGCGAATAGGATTTTCAAAATATCGAAAATATTCAAAATTTCGACATTCTGATCGATCCTTTGTGTACCTTATCCAATTGTTGATCGTCGACGCTGACGGGCGAGGGTAGCGCTGTTGCGTCGTCGGCAATCCCGGGTGTGTCGCTGACTAGTGCAGCGTTCCTTCGGGTACGAGCAGGCGCAGCGAAGCTACCTGAAAGCATTTGATGAACCGACGAATCGATATAAAAATATATGATATTAAAAATCCATCATGATCTAAGCCATCTATAAATACCCAGCGTATCCGAAACAACGTGGAATCTACGTTTTGGCCCCCACTAACCTTCATGTAAGCGCGTCGCCAGGAGTAGACTGACGACGAAGGTTTTCATCATGTACGCACCTAGCAAGCATCACACTTGAATATTTCACGTGATACGAGGATTGAAAATACAGGGGTCCAGAACCGACAAATCTGCTGAAAAATTGGGACAGCTTCCACAATGAGACATAGAAGCGGAAAGCGGCAATAATTTTTTCCAGTTAACCTGGAAATCAGGAATGGGAATCTAGGAATCAACTGGGAATCAGGTCGGTATCGGGCGATTCGCTAGGCAACAACAACTCAGCCCACTTTAGGCAAAAGTGAAAGTCTCCGCATGGCTGTCTCTCGTCTCGCTCGCTCTCTCTTACTCTCTCTCTCTCTTTCTCTCTCTCTCGCTCTCTCTCTCTCTCTCTTTCTCTCTCTATCTATCTCCATCTCTGTCTCTCTCTCTCTCTCTCTCTCTCTCTCCTTCGAAAATCTCGGCCACACAACGGTTCAGGATTTCGGGAAAAGTTCAGTTCGGCGCCAAAACCGGTGGCCGAGTGGTTAGTGACGTTGCCTGTCAATCTGACGACCCGGGTTCGACCCCCGGCCACGGCAGACATTTTGTTTTTTGGTCAAACGTTCAGAATCGGGATCTGGTGCCTGGAGATGAACGCAGGGCTTCAATTTGCGAAAAAAATTAAATTTTATTTACCAAAAAAGTGAGTGAAAATTAAATTCAATAAAAATGGAAAGCATATATATTTTGTGAAGGATTGGAGCTTACCCGGTAGTGGAGAATGGGGAAAATCAACAAAAAGACAATAAAAAATGCGGTCAATTAAAAAACCCAAAAATGACAAATACGACGATAATTCTGCATTTTGGGGGTTTTTTAAGAGCAAAAACGGCATGAAAAGAAATTTGAAAATTTTATACTTTAAGGAATCCAAATTTTGGCCTTAAAACTCGACAAAAATGAATGTAAAAAATTAACACCGAGAAAGGCAATATTTGTAGATGACCCGAGGGCAGTAAATGGCGAAAAAAATCACAAAAATTGTGTGTTTCAAAAAATATAAAAATTGGAAAATTGAAATGGAATTATTTGTCAATTGAACAGGCAAAATTTTAAATGGAAATCATAAAAATTGTGTGTTTCAAAAATTTATAAAATTCGGTAAAGATTTTAAAATGGAATTTTTTGTTTAAAAACAATCAAAATTTCCGCGTTTTTAAACGGGCGTCGTCTCGTCTACCGTAGCCCCGGATTTAATCGACGCCTGATCGGCGCCAATCTGCCGGACGCTCTTCCGCAACCAACTGACGTCGTGGCCGATTCTGCAAAAAACGCGATTTATTTTTTTAGTAAATTGCGATTTTATAAAATAAAGATTATTATTCTATGTATTAAACCTTTTTTACCTATTTATAATTTATGATACTTATCAAAACCCTTGCAACCGGTAATAATTAGTAAAATGCATTTTAAAAAGCTGAAAAATTCATGTTTCATAAAAATTCCAAAATCGGGAAAACCTTGGTTTTACAATTATTCTGTGCAAGAGAAATAAACTAAACAAGACAACAACCGCCCAAAAATTTGGCTGGTAATTGCATTTAAAAACTTTAATTGTTTGATTTTTTGAAATAGAAATAGATAGAAAATAGAAAATAGAAACCTAATTTCAATAAAAATAATGTTTTGGCGATATTAAAAAGGCATGTTTCACAAAAGTGTGACAATCAAAAAAATTTGAACTTTTCGATTTTGATCAGGGGGCGCAGGATTGTTAAAATCTTTAAAACTTCTATGGATAAAGAATCTCTGCTAGCCTGCCCCCATTCCCATTTCTCAAAGAAGCCCTGCTAGCCACCTGCACATAATCCGCTCCCATTTATCGGTCTCGGCATTCGGATCTCTCAATCGACGCTGCTTTAGCCATCTGCAAATCGGGATTCTTCGATTACGCGATGAAATTCGACCGTACCTGGCGCCCATATTTCCGATAAGGTGCTCGACGACGAGCTGGTTGAAGATGAACGACAACACCGACGAGAAGGCCGCTGAAATTTTGACGTAAAACTATGCTAATTGGCAGGCTAGCAGCGACGATTTGTGGAAAAGGAGCACGCGGAAAATTTCGAAATTTCAATGTTTCGAAATTTTTCAAAACTCGTTTTTGTTTTTGGGCGTCAGTACGATGGTGTGTTTCGTTACAACAAATTAAAATAGATTCTCGTAGAGTTTTTTCAGGGCTTTCGAATGGTATATATTACATTACGCTAGCTATTTCCCACGCAAAGTTATGCCCAGTTAAAGTTCGTGCCCCCCAGGCTACAAACTACAATCGACCAATTTTCATGATTTTTAGCTCAATTTAAACAGCTTTTCAAGGGGAATTTTTTGGTGCTAAAAGCGGGCTAGCAGGGAGAATTTGGCGGAAAATCTAACCCACCAATGAGGACGACAAAAATGCGCGTCATGTCGGGTATCTTCACGTAGTCGAGCAGGGCGGCCACCCAATCGGCCGGGAACAGCACCACGTAGAAGGACGCCTAAAAATTGGGTGTCGTAATCGATTACGGCATGAAATTTTTTATGGATTATGGCTTGCCAGGCCCTTTAAAAACGACTTTTGACCTTTTAAAGGACCATTGAAGGCAAAAAGGGCGTGGCTATCAATTCTGCCTTGTCAGGCCTTTTAAAATAAATTTTTCGGATTTTAAAGGACCATTGAAGGCAAAAAGGGCGTGGCTATCAATTCTGCCTTGTCAGGCCTTTTAAAATAAATTTTTCGGATTTTAAAGGGCCATTGAAGGCAAATAGGAGCGTGGCACTTACCACGGTCGTGACGAAAAGCGTCAGACACAAATATCGATTGGTGAAGATGGACTTCCGGTGGGCCGAGCCTGAAAAATTGGATTCGAAAGTGGACCTGAAATCCTACTATATATAAAAAATAGTGTCTGTGTGTGTGTGTGTGCATTTGCATGCAACTTCCGTCAGTATGTTCCAGTCGTATCTCAAGGAGGGAAGTACTTAGGGGTAGGTTCGATACGTCATTCGGTGCGTAATGGCCTGGGAACGGCTGCACGCATATTAGATTTTACAAAATATGATGTTTTCGACATTAAAATTAAGTTTTTCATGGAAAATCGGACACCCCACTTTGTTAGGATCAAATTAGCATGCACCGGAAGTCGCGGTAGCCTATATAAGGAGACGGCAAGAGCATTTTTCATTTTCGTCATCCGAATTCGGGAAAATTATGCAAAGCCAAAAATATCATTGGAGAAGACGGGGCCAGGGTTGAAAAGCCGCGAAGCGGTTTTTCAACCCTGGTTAATTCTAAAAAGCCTTGAAGACATTTGTGAAAAATTGAAACGCATTTATTTTGCGAAAGTGCGATTTTTTACATGATTTTTGGAACTTTTGGATATCTTTTGAAACTGAATTTATAAGTGAAGCGCCGGTTATTGGTTTTAAAGACATTTAAATATTTAAAACGATATTTAAATCACGTAAGAGCAATTATTAAAAATACCTGAAATGGAATCGGTAATTAAAAATCGCAAATTTTTTGGAAAATGGAAATTTTTTGAAACATTTTTACGCCGACCGAAGTTTCAGTTTGGGATTAGTGTTTTTGAATAAAAATTAATTTGAAAATGATATAAAATAAATCGTTACCTTTCGAATACATGGCGACCAGGGTCAGGTATTGGAACACCGAGACGCCAAAGAGGGCCGTACCCTAAAAGCGATTTTTCAGAGAGGAGAGAGAGAGAGAGAGAGAGAGAGAGAGAGAAACTACCGTACCTGCTGACTCCTCTTCACCTCCTCCTCATCTGGTGGGGACGGGACGAAGGGGATGAACCACGTCTGCTGGCTCGTCCAGACGAAGATGAACAACTGGAAATCACAGGATTTTATGGCTGATTTTTCTGCTTAATCTGCCCAGTATTTAAACTGGCAGCCAGTTAGTCGATTCCCACTTCTTAAGTTCTCTCTGCTAGCTCACCTGGGTTGTGAGCATAATTGTAAGCTGCCCGAGCACCGACACCATCGAGGCTGGCGATAAAAGGCGACGTGGCGGCGGCTTGCTGCACAGGGTGTCGTCTGGAAATTGGGATTTCGGGGCGTAATCGATATGGTTTCGCTTTGAAGCAAAAAGCAAAAAGTTGGTCGTGGCCGGGAGTCGAACCACTGGCCTAATAACGTCGCGTAATCGGTTTAAAATTGGATTTTAAAGTCTGGAATGTGCTTTCTGGATGCCAGTTAGCAAATTCTGAGAGTTTGAGGCAAAAAGCAAAAAGTATGCCGCGGCGGGGGATCGAACCCGGGTGGCCAGATTGGTAGGCGCGGCCACTAACCACTCGGCCATGCCAAATTTTTCGTTGTTTGTAAACTTACCTTTGTAAACTTTGTAACTAACAACGTAATTGTTTGTAAACCCACAAGCTTCCGCGGCTCCGAAGAACAACGCGTTGACGGTGATGATGAAGAGGTCGATGAACAGGAATTGGCCATCGGTGAGATTTGTGCCGATCCAGTATAATTGGAGGATGGTGACGAACTGGAAAATGACTTGCCGGCCCCTTTAAAATGACAAACCTGCGTGAGCGAGTAGCCGGCCATGTATTTGAAAATGGCAAAGGCGGTGACGAGGGCGGCCCGCCCCTCTCGGATGATGATTGGCACGCAGCGAATGTCGGGGATCTGAAACGCAGAAAGAGTACTGTAGCGTACTGTATCGTACTTTAGCGTATTGTAGCGTACGTTGGCGTCATGTAGCGTACTGTATCGTACTTCGGCGTATTGTAGCGTACTTTGACGTAATGTAGCGTACTGTATCGTACTTTGGCGTAATGTAGTGTACTGCAGTGTACTTTTGCGTAATTTATCGTACTGTAGCGTACTTTGGTTCACGATAGCGTAACCTAACGTACTCTCGTTTTGTCCAGGGTACAGATGCGTACGATGGAGTACTGTAGCGTACTGTAGCGTAAATCGCAAAAATTTTTAGGGTAAGCGCGAAAATCCAGAAGGCGCATTACCGTATCGCAGTCCATTTTTAGCAACTTTTTCCGCAAAACACATTTTTTGAACATGTTTACGACTAATTTATTTACGATTTTACAGCCGATTTTCTTGGGTATTCTCGCGTACTCTAGCGTACTACAGCGTACTTTTGGCATATTGGAAAGTACAGTGGCGTACTGTCGCGTACTATCGCTTAATTTAGGGGTATTCTGTGTAATTTAGCGTACTCCGGCCAACTGTTAGCATACTTGAACGTGATTTAGCGTGTTCTAGCGTACAAAAGCGTAATCTTGCGTACAGTCCCGACTTTAGATGTTGTAGCGCATCTAAGCGTATTTGCGCATACAGCGAGCACGATATTCCCCGTTACCCGTACGGTTTTACCAGATATTCCGATAAAACACAATTTTTTTTGATCGAAACATATGGCTCATAATGGACAGTATTTAGTACTCTAGCGTACTCTAGCATACTGTAACGTACCTTTGATGTAAATGGAGCCGCAATCGAAGCCTCAGCATCGGAAAGCGAAATCCCCGCGTGGGCTGCCTAGGAAAATGATGTTTCAAAAATTTTTTAAATTTGAAAAACATTTGATTTGTGTAATCTTCTATGCGCGCGATGTCGAAAAACCTTTTGGAAAAATAACCTATGGCCCGCCGCGATTTTTAAAAATCATGTTTCATAAATTTTTCAAAATGGAAAATTTTTTATTTTTTTTTAATATTTATCCATATCGTCTATCATAATACCATCTCATTTTTATCGATATCTGACTATCTTGTAGCCGTTTGGATTCCAAAAATAAAGTTTCGAAAAAGCATAAAACCCAAAGAATTTGCAATTTTTTTAGTTTCTCGAAAATTCTCACGATTCAATTTTAATCAGCTAATTAAATATATTTTTAGCATCTCATCTACGTTTTTATAATTAAATTGATATTCAGCATCCTACAAATCTTTTAATTATTTAGTTTTAGAATCAAAAATTTAGAAAAATCAGGTTTCAAAAAATTTTAAAAATTGGACATTTTTCAAGCCATTAATTTGTGGCTTTTCTGAAAAATCACTCTTTTTAATCAGCTCATTAAAACTATATTTACTAGATCTTTCGACTTTTGAAGAGGTTTAACAATACCGCATTTTCAAAATATTGAAAATACAAGTTTCGAAAATTTTTAAAATACAAAAATTTTCGGAATCTTTAATTTTCAGCCGGCAAATATACTATTGAATTAGATAATTAAATATATTTTTTAATCCAGATTTTCATACCTTTAAAGCAGCACAATCATTGGCTCCATCCCCACACATTGCCACGATATAATCGAGTGTTTGGAGGTGGTTGACGAGAAATTGTTTCTGATCGGGAGACATTCGGGCGAACACGTCACAACTAAAAAAATATATCTAGAGATTTGTGCCTTCAACGGCCCTTTAAAAGCGCAAAAATAGAAAAATTAAATATGCTAGGGAAAAGAAAAATTCATGTTTCAAATTTTCAAGGTTATACGGTGCTTTTTTGAACCTAATTCAAGTCGAAAAATGGTTGTCCATTAAACACTTCCAAAAATCGGAAATTCACAAAAATTCTTGAAAAAGAAAATACCAATTATTGATTTTTTTTATTTAATTTTATTAACTTAGAAAATTTAGCGCTAGATTTGAAATTTTTTGATCGGAATTTTTTTGAAAAAGCTTGTTTCATCAAAAAAGCCGTTTGACTCCGAATATTAGCCGCCAATTTCAAGTTGTACAGCCTTTCATTAATGCAATTTTGAAAAAATCGGAATTTTTAGCTATTTATTAATATTTTTATTTAATCTGTTAAAAAATGGCTGATACAAAATTAAATGGAGTTTTAGCATTAAAAACCACCGAATTTTGGCCATCCCGAAAAATAAAAAAATTTTGTTTAGTCTAAAAAACAATCCTCGGTGCCAGTTTTTATAAATACTATGTTTGCGATTGTTTTGTCTGATATAAGTTTTGTTGAATTCAATAAAAATGATTAAATATAAAAATTAAGTTTTGTTGAATTCAATAGAAATAATAAAATAAAAAATTAAATTTTGTTGAATTCAATAAAAATATTTTTAAAAAATTCAAGACGAGGCCTACGACTAAAGTCGGAAACTTACACCGTCATCAGGTTGTCCATTAATTCCGGATATTCGTGGCAGACGACGGCAAATGTTGGGCCTGAAATTTTAATTTTCCTGAATTTTTCAGCTAAGAAGTTTTAAATCTAAATGTTTCGAATTTTTTTGGTGAATTCGAAATTTGCTCGTTATTTAATGCGAGAGCGGATGTTATCGGAATTCCATTTAATTATACGCGATAAAAAACTAATTTTCTATTTTGAAGGCTAAAACAATCTCCATTAATTTTTTAAGAAAAAATTGCAGTTTCCAATTTTTTGTGAAACACCAAAATTCAAAAATTGCAAAAATTCCTTTAAATTTACATTTACGAAATAAAATTCTTGCCAAACTGTTAGTCACCATCGCGAAATTTCAAACTGATTTTGGCAGGAAAAATTTTTAAATTTAAATGTTTCAAAATTTTCGGTGAATCCGCAATTACCTGGTTATTTAATGCGCGCTCGAGGCTTTCCAATCAATTACGCGATAAAAACATAATTTGAATAGCTCTAGAAAATGCTTCCAATTCCGCAAAGGAACGCTGCTAGCGTGCCCCGCCATTTCCAATCGATTACGCTATGAAAATCCGTGTTACTAGCTTTCTAGGTGGATTTAAAGGAACATGACTCCTAGAAAAGGGGCGTGACCGGGTGGGAGGCAAGCTAGAAGAGGAATTCAGAAGAGGATTTGATTTTTCCCTTAAATTCGAAAATTTTAAAGGGAGCGTGACAGCTGGCGGAAAGGGGGCGGGGCCTGGCTGATCAAAATGGTCGGATTTCGTTGTCTTTTTGAAGACGACCATCGATTATTAAGTTACACATAAATCGCGGTTTTCGGCTGTTTCATGAAACATGAAAATTCAAAAATTACAAAATGCTATTTTAAATTTATAATTTTTAAAATATGATTCTTGGCTACATTTTCGTTACCGGCAAAGATAATTCAAGGAATTCAAAAATTGATTTTTGGCTGAAAAAAGTTTTAAATTTAAACGTTTCAAAATTTCGGGTGAATTCGAAGCCGTAGAAGATATTTATTCAGCAGTCACTAGGTATCGGATTAATTACGCGTAAAACCGAATTTCCAAATCTCTAAAAAATGCTTAAAATTCCGCAAAGGGTCTCTGTGGGCCTGCCCCGCCATTTCCAACCAATTAATTACGCCATGAAAATCGGCAATGCCCGCCGTCTAGGTGTCTTTAAAGGGAGCGTGACTCCTAGAAAAGGGGCGTGGTCTGCGTGACAAGCTAGCAGAGAGCATCTAGGAATCGAAAATCGCTAATCTGACTGCCAGTACAGCTATTGGCGAGCTAGCAGAGACCATTTGCGGAAAATCGAGATTTTCATGGGCTCCTGAAGTCAGATTTTTGTTGCGTAATCGATTGGAAAACTTGGAGCAGGCTAGCAGAGATCATCTAGGAAGCGAAAATCGATAATCTGGCAGCCAGATAAGCGATTGGCAAGCTAGCAGAGAGGATTTGCGGAAACTACAGACTCCAGACTACAAATTACAGTAACCCACCGGCAATGCAAAGCTGATAATTCCCCTGCAATTCCGGGCTCAGGGGATCCGAATTGAGCTGCTCGTCGAGGATGTCTTCCGAGGAGGAGACGCTCTAGAAAAATCAAAAAAATTATTTATCTTATTTAAGTTGAAATTAAATAATCAACGTAAAAAATTAAAATTTAACAATTTTGAAACGTATAAAACATGAAATTCGCTAACAACTAAAAAACTTTTATAAATCAGACCAAATCAAATCAGATCATTAATAAAAAACAAAAATGAAAATGATAAAAATGAGAGAAATTACCATTAACAAAAATAAAAACAATTAAATACGTGGAAATCTCGGAAAATAACTAAAATAAAAGCCTAATTCGACACCTAAAAAACATATAAAAATCGGATTTGTAAAAACTAAAATACCAAGTTTTTGGAAAAATTAATCGTCAGCGTATTAATTGAGAGCTCAAGCCCGCAACTTTGAAAAATTATGAAACCTAATTTTTTAACTTAAAATACACTTCAAAATTAGGGAAATTCAACCAGAGAAAGGAAATAACATAACCAAATTTATGGAATTAAAATAGCTACCGTAATCGGGAAAGGATTCCCTACGCTCTGGAATTAAAACAATTAAGTCACGGCAAAATATCTCTAAACGTCTCTAAATCTCCGAAAATACACGAATGAAAATCAGACTTTGTAACACTTAGAACCCTACAATACAAAATTAGAATGCCATAATAATTGAGAACTCAAGCCCTCAAACTTTAAAAAAAGATAAAACATCATTTTTTTGGCTTAAATTCAAAGAAAATGGATCTTCGGGACATGTAAAGACCTACAAAATTACATAGCAAGTAAAATTTATATAACTAAATTAATTGCATCAAATTAGCTACCGTAATCCGGAAAACCTACATTTTTAAAATCCATAAAAATCGTAGTTTTTAAAAACTGCGGAATTTTTGGACATATCAATTTGCCACGTGAGAGACCAGTATTGATTTCGAACTCAAACCCGCAAACTTTAAAAATGAGGAAACATAATTTTTTTAGTTAAATAAAATTAAAGGTCTTTTTGGCAACGGAATTAAGTAAATAAAACAAATTTAGAACTAAATTTATCGAATCCAATTAGCTACCGTAATCCGGAAAATCTTCTGATTTTGACGTCGTTGCACCTGGGAAATTGGAAATACCAGGAATCTATTTTTCGATTATTACCGCTCAGGAAAATTTTTGTTTTTGGTAAATTTTTGAAACAACTTTTTCCGCTAAATTACGCGAAGAAAATCCCGTCAGAATTACCTGTCGTAACGTCAGCTGGGTTCGGCCATCTGCGGCTAGCTGACCGGCCTGGTGTTCCACGAGATAGGCCTGGAAAATCGAGGCTGTGCCACGCCCACTTTTTGCCTTCAATGGGCCTTTAAACAGTCAAAATTGGCTTTAAAGGTCCATTGAAGGGAAAAATCCACCGCTTTTTTTACTTGCCAGGCCTTTGAAAAGGGATGTTTTCGAGGTTTAAAGGGAAATTGAAGGCAAACGGGAATCTCGACGCCATGGATTTTGACCTCTCGAGCCCTTTAAAACCGTTTTTCGAGCTTTTAAAGGGCCATTGAAGGCAAATGGGTCGTCCTTATGGATTTTGGCTTCCCGGGTCCTTTAAAACGATTTTGGAGCTTTTAAAGGGCCATTGAAGGCAAAAGGGGGCGTGGTCACGACGAACCGTGCGATTGGGCCGAATAATGCCGCATTCCCTGCCCACACTGAGTGCCGTCAACAAGTTGTCCCCCGTCACCATCACCGCGCGAATATTGGCCCTAAATTGAAATTTTGAACGGTTTTAAGAAATAGTAAAAATTGTTAAACCTTAAAAAATTATTTTAGTGGCTTTTATTTGAAATTTTGTTACATTTTCGATTTTTCGATTTTTTGCTTTCTTCGCGTCCGATTTTGTAAAAATTAATAACTAACAGCTAAATAATTTATTTTTCGTAATAATAATAATAACTCAAATTAATCCATTTTTAACATTTAAAAATATCGGCCAACCAATACGCTGGAAGAATTAGGATGATCGATTTCTGCGGAGAATCCAGCATTTTTGAAACATTTCGTTTTTCCACGAAAAGCTGCATTTTCTAATAATTCTAACTGTAACCCTTCTATGGTCGAAGTGGAAATTCGTTTCGTGAGATAGCACATCTTGTGCAGAATTTTTTGATGATTCCGAATCTGTTTTCAAAAGTTGCCGAACCCCTCAGATTAAAAAGTTACAAACGTTTTTAATACCCAAAATGCCAAAAATCGCTTTCTTTAAAGTGTTCTAAAAATTTCGTAAAAAACTTTTGCAGGGAGAGTAAGGCGTTCTCCGGGGTAAAAAAACGTGCTCTTTCGAATGGGCTCCCTCACGAACCCGTAGCTCGAAATTTCGAAAATTTCGAGTCCAATTTTTGAAAATTTATTTGAGCCCATATTTTAGGGCCCAACTAAGAAACGTTCGTGATAGACCCACCAATTTTATGAAATTTTTCGCTTATTTGGAGGAATTTGAAACATTCAAATTCAAAAAGTCTCCTTTTTTGTTGCATCGACTTAATTTTCGTTTAGCTTTGTTTCTTTCGTATAAGTACAGTACCTGTTCAGCTCGTTGATGACCGGAAGTGACTGGGGCTTTAGTCGATTTTCCATCACGATAAGCCCCAAAAGCTCGAGGCCCGTCTCTACGGAGTGGCGAGGGACTTTTTGGGCTTTTGCGAAACTGAGCACGAGATCGCGCTTCGCTACCTGGAATTAGATGACGTAATCGATTAGAAAATAGCCCTCTCCTGCTTTCTCTCTCTCTCTCCCTCTCTCTCTCTGTCCCTCTCTCTCTCACCGCAATCAATCGATATCCGTGTTGTGCGTATTTGTTGACCGTCTCCAGGTAGTCGTCCGGCACGGTCGTTTTATCACATAGAGACAAGATCATCTCCGGGGAGCCCTGAAAATAAAAAAATGCATTAAAATTCAAAATTTGTAAAAAAAATGTTTTTCGAAAAGTGGAGGTTCCGCGATTTTTCAGGTAATGATTACCGACAACAAAGGATTCTGTAAAATTCCGTAAAAAGGATAGTAGGAAAAACGAATAATAGAAAGTGCCTTGGAATACAGCGTCATTTTTCTGCCCGTCTCCTCCACGGGGCTGTTGACGATCACCGACATTCGCTGCAGGGAGGAGCTGAAAAAAGAGATTTTTTACGTGTTTAAGGACCATTGAAGGCAAAACGGGACGGGGCCTTCGATTCTGACTTGTCTGTTCCTTCAAAATGGAAATTTAAGCTTTTAAAGGCCCACTGAAGGCAAAAGGGGGCCCGGCCTCATGCATTTTGACTTGCCGGTTCCTTTAAAGCCTATTTCAACGAGTTTAAAGGACCATTGAAGGCTGAAAATCCACAGTACCTGAACGTGAACTGCCTGATGACGGCAAAATCGGAGCTCCGGAAAATCGGGACGTCTTCTGGAGGGGGTTTGACGACGGTGGGCTGGACCGTGTCGAAGCGCGAGATCTCGTCGTCGCTTCTAAATTGGATTTTATTTAATCGATTACGCAATGAAAATCAGGGGCGTTAGGCAACTTAAATAGTAAAAATTAAATAAGTTAAAATATTAAAATAAACAAAACTCAAATTGGTCAAGAAGTGATTTTAAAGAAAAAATGTTTCGAAAATTAGCAAAACTCCGAAAAATAAAGTCTCAGTAATTAGAAGAGAATTCAAAAGCGATTACTGTATGAAATTCGGGAACATAACTGGTTAGGCAAGGAAAATAAGGGGTGGAAATTGAAGCGTAGCGGAACGTAAAAAACAAACAAAATTAGGTAAAAATCGAAATTTTAAAAAGATGCTTCAAAAAATGGCAAAGCTCACAAAAATAAAGAATTACTAATACATCTCGGGATCTTTCGCCCCTTCTAAAGCTGGATTCACAAAAGAATTGTTAGAAAACAGATGTTTAAAATTTGGGATTACGGTAGCGGGCAGGCTAGCAGGGGTTCTTTGCGGAAAATCGATTATGACATGAAATAAAGGATTAAATACTCTCTTAAACAATGTTTCAAAAAATTTCCAAATTTTACTCGACGAATAATTGTCAATCCCCCAGCGTGATAAGCACGATTAATTAATTATACCACCAAAATGTTCAATTACGATATGGAATTCGGGGAATTTAAGTCGTTACGCCAGGAAAATACGGGGCGTAAATTGGCGGGTAGCGGAACGTAAACAACTAAAATCAAGAACAATGAAAATTTTAACAAAAAAAATGTTTCAAAAATTCGCCAAACTCAGAAAACTAAAAAAGTTGTTAGTGAGCCGTCAATCGCGATTTTCATCAATAAGTAAAACTACATCGAAAAATTGGAAATAGTGTAGGGGGCAGGCTAGCAGAGAAACTTTGCCGGAAATCGGGGTTTTATCGATTACGCCATGAAAATAGGAAATAAATGATCCTGAAAAAATGTTTCATAGATTTCGGAATTTGATTCCTCTTAAAAGTTGCCAATCAAATTCCGACTTGATCCGAAAAATAATTCATTAGGTGATCAAAAAAAAACCGATTTCTGCATGGAACTCCGGGAATTTAACTGGTTACGCAACAAAAATAAGGCGTAGTGAAACGGTATAAAAACTGAAAATCAAATAAAAAAATCGAACTTTTAAGAAAAAATGTTTCAAAATTCAAGGTAGAATACTAAAAACAATATTAATAAGTTTCGTTATCATCATCAAACTTACTCGCCCCTCTCAAAAGCTGGATTCGTAAAACAATTGCTAAACATAGATTTAAAAAATTGTGTTTACGGTGGCGGGCAGGCTAGCAGGGGTTCTTTGCGGAAATCGGGGTGTAATCGATTACGACAGAAAAATCAAGAATTAAATATTCTCTTAAAAATGTTTCAAAAATTTCCTAATTTATTTCGGTTCCAAAATTGTTAATTAAAGCCAATTTGGTGCAGAAATAATTCATTAGGCCATGAAATCAATCAATTACTATATGGAATTTGGGGGGTTTAACTGATTACGCGATGACATAAGAGCGTAAATTGAAGCGTAGCGAAACGTTCTAAAAAAACTAAAAATTAGGCGAAAAATCGAAATTAAAAAAATGTTTCTAAAATTCGTAACACTCAGAAGAATAAAAAGAGGATGATCAGTCCATGGCTTGGCTAGCAGGAATTCTTTGCGGAAATCGGGGTGTAATCGATTACCACAGAAAAATCAAGAATTAAATATTCTTCTAAAAAGTGTTTCAAAAATTTCCTAATTTATTTCGGTTCCAAAATTGTTAATCAAAACCACTTTGATCGAGAAAATAATCCATTAGGCCCTCAAATGAATTAATTATGGCGCGGAATTTGGGGAATTTAACTGATTACGCCATGAAATAAGGGGGTAAATTGAAGCGTAGCGGAACGTTAAAAAAACTAAAATTAAGCGAAAAATGGAAATTTCAAAAAATGTTTTAAAAATCGGCAAAACTCAAAAAATAAAAAATTATTAATGAGCGCAGCTTTTGGCTTGCAACCTACTCGTCCCTCTCAAAAGCTGGATTCGTAAAGCAATTGCTAAAAACAGATTAAAAAAATAGGGATTACGGTAGCGGGCAGGCTAGCAGGGTTCTTTGTAGAAAATCAGGGTTTAATCGATTATGCCATGTAAATATAAAGGAAATTTTTTCGTAAAAATGTTTCAAAAATTTCCTAAATGATTTCGGTTCCAAAATTGTTAATCCAGAACAAATTTGATCCCGAAAATAGGTCATTAGACCCTCAAATGAATTAATTACGGCATGTAATTCCGGGAATTTAACTGGTTACGCAAGGAAAATAAGGGGTGTAAATTGAAGCGTAGCGGAACGTTCAAAAAAATAAAAACTAAACAAAACAAGGAAATTTTACGAAAAATGTTTTAAAAATCGGCAAAACTAAAAAAAAAAGATATTGGTGCTTCCTGGTTATCGGGGGTCGGTTATTTTAGCGGGGGTCGGTTGGCATCTTCTTTTCGTTTAGCCTATACCTGCCTAGTGATAAATTGTAGTTTATTTTAATACTGTTTTTAGTAGCTTCCGATAATCAAAAATTATAAAAATATTTATGCTATAGTCACGAAATCTAGGGTTATAGCGCGGTTTTAGCCATTTTCATATACGTTAGACCGAAAAAGAAATTTTTTTCAACATGTTTTATGACGTTTTTCTTAATGTCTCCTCCCCCGCTAACAGTCCAGAACCATTTCAAACGGCACACAAGTCTATAAAAACGGCCAGTTTTTAATTAGCCGAGCCGCACGATATTATAGAAAAAAGTTCGCAACCGACCCCCGCTAAAATAACCGACCCCCCGATAACCAGGAAGCACCAAGATATTAATAATAGCTTGTTTCGGCTTGGAACTTACTCATCCGTCTCAAAAGCTGGATTCGCGAAAAAATTGTTAAAAACAGAGGTTTAAAGATTGGAATTACGGTAGCGGGCAAGCTAGCAGGGATTCTTTGCGGAAATCGGGATTTAATCGCTTACGCCATGAAAACAGGCAATTTAATTCATTCTTAAAAAATGTTTCAAAAATGTTCAAATTTAATTAGGATCGAAAATTGTTAATCATTCGCTAGGCAAGATCATGAAAATTAATCCCTTAGGTCATCAAACTAACCGATTACGGCATGGAATTCGGGAATTCGGGGGTTACTGGTTCCGTAAGGAAAATAAAGGGCGTAAATTGGAGCGTAGTGAAAGTTAAAAAACTAAAATAAACAAAAAATGGAAGTTTTAGCGAACAAATGTTTCAAAAATTCCACAAAATTCAAAAACATAAACTGTTATCAATTAATTCTTGTTAAAGATTCAACTTACTCATTCCTCTCAAAAACTGGATTTTCAAAGGCATAGCTAAAAATAGATTTTTAAAAATTGGGATTACGGTAGCGGGCAGGCTAGCAGGGATTCTTTGAGGAATTTTTGCGCCGGGCAAGCTAGCCGAGGCCATTTAGGAAGTGGGGATCGCTAAACTGGCCTCCAGCTAGACAATTGGCAGGCTAGCAGCGACAATTTGAGATTTCCGAGGCGAGCTAGCAGTGATGCTTTGCCCCAAAATCAGTTACCCCGGGCAAATGGTTTCTGCTAGCTTGCCCAAGGAGATGTTTTGACTGGGAACCGCTAGACTGGCTGCCAGTTTAGCCAACGGGCAAGCTAGCAGAGACCATTTGCGGAAATTTGGGAAATTACTGACCTTTCCGAGCCGCAATTCTCATCAATTGTCCATCGGCTTTGGTTGAAGAGGATCAGGTCGAGGGGATCGCCGTGGAGCACTCCGTTAATTCTGAAAAATAATTGATAATTTTACCTGGCGTAATAGGTGAATATCTACGAAGATTATCGAATTTTTTTGGTTTTCTTTTTAATTGGCGAAATTTGATTCCACCAAAGAATGGCAAATTTTGAAACAGCTTTTAAACCTAAATTCATATTTGAATATAAAATTTTATAATTTAAAAGTTAATATTATTAACTAATTAAATTAATGAAAAATAGGTTTACATGCAGCAACACCAAAATTACGAAAAATTGGCCAAAGAGTGGTTAGCAAATTTTTCGAAACACGTTTTTTCCTTTGTGAAAATTTTGGATTATATTAAATGATCTTTGTTTTTGTAATGAATTTCGTTAGTAGTTTACAAAATAAAACTTAATTAATTTTTTACTAAATTAAATTTGTGCAATTCGGCTTATTCCTGAAGAAAATCCGCAAGAAGGAAGTAATTTTGGCAGGAAAATTTTTTGAAACATTATTTTTTCCAAAACCATTCTAAACTCCAAAAATCCAAAAATTGGTAAAGCACCAATTTTAAAAATTTGGATTTTTAGCGCATCTAATTTGATTTAAATTTTAATCATTTAAATAGCTAATCGTAAAAATACCTAAAACCGATCGTAACCGGTTCAAAAATCATCGCCGAAATCAAACATTGCAACAAAAAGCCATCGCCAATGAACCCACAGTTTTGAAACATTTTTTCTTCTTTCAAATTCTGCAGATTTTTGGTCTTCATCCTTTTCCTTTTCAATATGATTAAGTTTTGAATTTTATTGGCGGCATCTTTTTAAAGTGCTGATTGAAATTAAGTGAAAATCAGGCATTGCCTAAATTTTTGAAACATTAATTTTCAAAAAAAAGTTTTTAAAAGGTTAAAAACTCTATGGACTTACGAGTAATTTTACTGTTATTTAAATTCTAAGAAAATGAACTTTATTTTATGTAAAGTTACCTGGTTAATGAATGGCAAGTGGCGACGGCCTTGATGATTTCTCCATCCCTCGGCAGCTCCCGTGGCAACATTTCCGATGTTTCAACCCCAAAATGAGAGGCGGCGTTCTGGAAATACGCTATTATTTTTTCATATTGATCGCTTAATTTACTCTTAAAATTTACTTTATTTACTTTTTCACAAATTTTTAATTATATTATTATTAAATAAGTATCAATTATTATATTTTTGATTTATATTTTTGTATTACTTAATATATTTGTTACTAGATTACTTATATTATTGTATTTATATTTTTTATATTTTTATTTTTATAATTTAAGACATCAAAAATAAGATCTAGGACAAAACAAAACAGCCTTAATTTCCGATGTTTCAGCCCCAAAATGAGAGGCGGCGTTCTGGAAATACGCTATTATTTATTCAATAATTCTTTAATTTTATTTTTCAAATTTGCTTCAAAATTATTCTTTAGTCTTTTTAAAGCACATAATTATTTACTACGTATAATTATTCACATTTTGATTTTTCACAAATCTTGAACGTTTTTAACTTAGTTTTGAAAAAATGCTTTTTTATTACGCTTTATAGTTTAGTGACAGTTAGTTGACAAAATTCGATCGCGCACTGCTTGTTTTAAAAATCTCCTATTTTTAAAAAATGTTGAAACATTTTTTTGCGGAATCTCATAAAGTACGATTTATTTTTGATGATTTTTAAGAAAATTCTTCTCTGAACAAATTAATTAAATAGCGTGTAACGGATAAAATATGTATGTAATATTAACGTGTAAAATGGCAGCTAAAAATAATGGCAAAACGCTGAAATAAATATTACCAGATTGCTAAAATTTTCAGTAACTCAAATTTTCGAAACATTGTTTCAGATTCTACGATTTTCCCAATATTTTGCGATTTTGCTGCACTTTTTAATATTAAATCTGTTATTTCAAGATCTTTGTTATATATTTCCATATTTTGCTTTATCTATTTGTTAATTTGTAAAATAATATTTGAGACGATGTTGCGCATTGGCTTGTTTTTCCAATTCCGGACTTTTAATAGTTTTGAAACATTTTTATTTTTTTATAATGATATTGATTTTGATTTTGTTATTATATCGTAAATATTTATATGCATAATTAACGATCTATTTAGCAAATTTAAATAACAAATTTCCTACCGTAACCGCCGGCTTGACGGCGCGCATCGTGTGGAAATCGAGGCCATCTTCGGTGAGGGTACCCGTTTTGTCGAAGCACACCTGAAATTTTGTGTATTTCAATTAGTTTAATTAATTTTAATAGCAAACTGAATTAAAATTATATTCTATTAAAAAATTGAGGCTTTATGAAAATTGGCGACAGATTGGTTTCCAAAATTTCTGAAAATCTTTGGACATTTATGAAACATGTTTCAAAAAATTTGGTAGTCAAAAAGGCGGATTTTTCTTAATGTTGGGTTCGTTCGAAGCAATTTATAATTTTTTTTACCGAATTTAAATTAGTC